TATATATATATATATATATACCACAAGTTTTTTTAATTAATAATTTTTATGACGTGTGACTCAACCAGATGTACTTTTGCCATGAAGAGTAATAGGTGAATCCGAATGATTATGATCAACATTTTGATTAGGCAACTTGAACACGATGATTCGTGTTTAGCATCTTGGCTAAGCCCATTTAAGGCAACGAAAAAAGCTTTTTAGAAAGTGACAATAGAATCTATATATGGTCCATTACTAAACTTTCGTCTACAATTATGACAAATTGACAACAAATATTAAATGGCCCAGATGTCCCATAGTAGGGCAATCAAACAAAACATAGCAGATTTTACGTATCATGATTTTTCCAACCATGAGCAACATAATTAAATTTAAACTTGGCACCAAGACAATTTTAAGGGCACTGTATTATGGGACCGCCCTGCATTGATGGCCATCAGAAAGGTTGTTATTTCTTCTATTATACCTGGCATTTTGGGTTTTATGGACCCCAATAAGACCAAGCAAATCTTCACTCCTAATTACATAGGCCCAACCCACGTACTGAAATAGATCATCACCTCATATGTTCATCCTTTTATAAACACCTATTTATTACTGGAAAAAAATTATTAAAATTTCGTTTTGTTTCTTTAATTTTTTTTAATTATTTGTTTAAATTAGGTACATATATATGATGGGTAGACAGCATTAAATTTCAATGTAATAGGGCGTCAAAATTAAACACATATATCCCTTGTGATATTTGTGTAAATTATACTTCAATTTTAAATACACAGGACATTGCTGAAAATAACGTATTAAAATATAAAAAGAAAAAGAGAGTACATTTTGATTCATAAAGCAAAATGGCAAGATACTTTAATTGGTTTTTTTTGGTATGCTCATCTAGGCTCTATAGTGCGAACTTTTTATTTTATTCCCTGTACTTAATAAAAGCACATTGTACAAACTATTTTTGTTTTCTTTAAATCTTTATAATTTTATAAACTTTATTTTTTAGTTTTTATAATAAATAGACAATAAAAATCAAAAAGAAACAAATATGATATATTAAAGATACTATAAAATTAAAATGTAAAATTTATAAAATTATAAGGAACAAATGAATATTTATTTATATATATTTTTTTTTGGTATGGATACATCATTTAACTTTTTCTAAATTTCATTTGACCTTCGATGAGTTCAATTCAGGAATTACACGAGCGGAAAGATATCAAAAGCGAAAAAGCATTCAAAGCATCTGAAGCTTCAAAGCTTGGAAAGATTGCCTAACTAAGCTAGCCAAAGTGGAAAATTAAATTTCTCTACCCTATTAATTTTAATATTTAATTATATTTGCATGACTGACATATTTTTAAAGAGTTTATAATAAGAATCATGTTCATATGATCACGCTTCAATTGGGTCATGAGAGCCCCTGGTAATTATAGGAATCTTGACCATTATTAATAATGTTTAGCTTCGTGTTGTGCCACAACACAGAATATTGGAATAGACCGAAAGAGACACAATCTAATGTAGCGATGGCACGGAAGAGAGAGAGAACCAAAACAAGCTGAGCAGTAGACACATCAACAACTGTGCCTGTGTCACACTTGCTTCAGTAACTTCCCTTGAATGTTTCATGTGCAAATGTTCTTTTCTTTGTTTTAACAGTTTTGATTTGAAACATTGAAATTTTTTTTACTGTCACGAATATCCCCGGTCCACTAGCTAATAGACCAATCATGTTCTCCATATTATGATTGATATGCTGGCTCAATAGGTTTTTGCATGCATCCAGTAGAAATTATTGTTACATGAACCTGCAAGTGCACCAATGAGAGTCATGTCCTTTGTCCTAGGACGGTGGAGAAACCTACAATGAAATTTAAACACCAAGTCTGAGGGAGATCCATGTTAACTATATAATTAGGGTTAAATGATACATGGGGTCGTCCTATATATAAGTGTTTCATATAATCTTTAAGGAAAGAGATATATTTGCATGATCAGGGAAAATATTCTTGTTTATTAAACATAAATATTATCATTGATAATGTGATTCTTGGATTCAAAGAGATATGACATGGCAATTATTTTTAAACTGGATGAAAATAAAATTATCTAGAGTTCGTTTTTATCTTTTGAATCTAATTTGGGTGAACTAATTAAAATATTATGTTTAACTCACCCAAATTGGATATGAGATCAATTCAACCTAAATTTTTGACTAAATTGGATGATATATCTATATCATATGAACGTATAATAACTAAGCAGTGTCCCAATTCATTATATTTGTATATGTAAATTTTAGGAGTAAATTGTGGCATATGGTTGACAAAGTGATGCCAAAAAGGGGTGAGGAGTTAAAAATAGAGATAGGAAAAAGATTAGAACTAAAGAACCAAACGTACAAGAGGGGGTGTGTCCCCTACTCACCCTGGTCCAGCAGCAATGACCAAATATTCGAATTCCACATGGGCAAGGTTTGGTAATATAGCATAGTAAACGGTTTATGGCAAGGAACCCTCCTTCATTGGAGACAACTAGACAACCCCTCTGACCCCACTACACTTTCCTACCCTCTTCGTTATTGAGACACTTCAAAACATATCCAATTCACATCCCCATTCTCGCGTTATTCTTCACAGCAACAAGATCTTGCAAACTTATATTCCATCCCAGTCACGTTATCTGATTGTCAAATAATTCACATGACACGCCGTGTACAACTATTTTTTATCTCTTTTTTTAGCATTCTCCAAAATCAAAATTATTGTCATTCTTTTGTGGTACACAACATTTTCCTATTCCATCCGTTTCAAACAAATCATTGCTGCTGAGCCTGCTAACTTTCCCTATGCCAAACTACACATTATTTACTTCCAACTCGATTCTCCCCTTTTTACTTCCCAGTTCATTTTGATTACCCATTCATGCAAACTCATAAAGAGCTTAATCTTTTTGTTTACTCTTACCCATTAACACAAGTCAAATCATTTTCACGTACTCTTCCAGTAATAAGCGAATAACTTTATTAACCATTAACCAACCTTCATATAAACAATTAAAATAACTTAGTAAAAGATAAGAAGAGGGGAACGCAACAAAAACCGTCACAATTAACGGGGAGGAATTGCAGATTGAACCCCAAAGACGAAAACAACAAATCCAAAGAAAAAATATATATATACTAACATAGAGATAGACATTAATTAATATTGCAGCAGTAGTGCCTAGAGGAATGAGAAAAGAAAAACGCAAATTGCTTGAGTATCAGTCAGTGCTGGTCATTTTAAGCCGTCTGATTGGAGAGTCAATCACGGAGGGTGAAGATGGAAGTGTTGATGAGGAAATGGACGGTGGTGATGATGGTGACACATCAGAGGTGTCTAGTAGCTTCCTTTTGTAATTGTTCCCTTCCCTGTCTTGGCTTTCACCCCTAACCTCCTTCGTTGTCATGTAATCCTTCAAACGTTTCACGTCAGATAACTTCACTGGCTTCACTATGAAATCCTCTGCACCCTCCTCCAAACATCTGCACAATTTCCCAAAATTCAATTATTTCCCTTGTTCACTATTTCTTCTTCTGTTTAATCAATTCAATTCTCAGAAAACTATTAAAAATAAATAATAATAATAATAGACCCAAGAATGGGAAACAAAATGGTACCTGTCTATGCGTGGCAAAACGTTTTCAGAAGACATAATCACCACAGGAGTTTCCTTAAAAGTGGACGATTCCTGTTTCAAGTAAACACTTCTCAATTAGTCTTTGTTTATTATAATGTGGAAAAATAAAGGAATATTGTTTAGATTTTGTAACCTTTATTTTCTTGAGCAGTTCATAACCGGTCATTCCTGGCATACAGTAGTCTGTGATAATTAGATCCACCTTTAAACCCTGCTAGAAACATTATGGTTCCATCAAGATGTGAAAAAAAAAAAACATTCTAGGAAAAATTGAATTAATTTCATATGATACATACAACAAAAGTTTCAGAAGCCATTTTCTGCTCGTCCAATAGTCCAAGTAATTGCAGTGCTCTGAGCCCGCTATCCACAGCCGTAACTGCAATTTAATTAAACAAAGTTCTTCATTACCATCAAATACTTAAAAAATGATAAATAAATTTTAATGAAGTAAACCAAAACTTTTTTTTTTTTCTTTCATAAATAATTTGAGAGAAGTAGAAGTAACCTTTGCAAGCAAGGACTTTGAGTAAACGTTCGATGACCTTGCGATCAACGAGGCTGTCATCAACGGCTAAAACATGAACCTCTTGGGATTGTTCGGGTGAGAGAGCGAAAGCGTCCATGTTCTCCGGCATCCTCGGCCAAGAAACGACACCGTTAGAGTCCATCTTTTGCTTCGGCCAGAGGAAAAGCGAACAGAGACAGAGAGAGAAAGAAAGACAAAGACAGAGAAGAAGGAATCCTCAACGTAATGTGGGTGCTTAGATCTTAAATAGAGCTTAGTATGATATAATAATGTAACATGATATGTTCTTCTATCCATCTATCAATTATCATGTCACGTCACTATATTATTTCACCAATCTAGATAAAAGCATTTATGGGAAATTTAGAAAATGGAAACGAAATTTTTTTCATACTTGTTAAAAATAATAAAATATCAAAATTATGATGTTGGTAAAATATCATATTTTTAATTAACAGTTTTAGAGTGACGGTTAAAAATTTTAAAGTAATTCTATTTTGCTAAAATTGTAATATTTAATATCATAAATATATCTTTAATATCTTTATTATGATTTTAAAAAGAGAAAATAAGTTATATTTCAACAAAGTAAAAGTGTCATCCAATTCTAAATTACCATATAGGGTAAATTTTTTGATTTTTTTATTAATCATCTTAAAAGTTATACTATAATAATTTCTTATTAGTTGACTATATAAAAAAAAATTACATTAATAATATAGTCATTAAAATCTCTTAAAAATATTTATTATTAATTTTTTCTACAAGACTATAAAAATATTTTCTAAATATAAAGATATTCTTATAATAATAATTTGTAAATAATAAAGAAAAAAAGTCTTATCATTTTCATAATTAGAAAAAAAATTAATTACAATATACTGATAAGTTTTAGTGAAAAAAGTTTTTAATAATATCATTTCGTTATAAATTTTCGGGTATGGTAATATTGTTAACTTTTTTTGTACATATATTATTGAATTTTATAAAAAATAATTAAAAGGTTATATTTAAAGTGATTTCTGGTTAGTTAATTTTACACGTTTTTATATTGAAAGTGTAAAATTATTAAATACTTGAAAATAAAATTATCATATGATTATAATTGATATAATTATTAGTTTATTGAAACAATTAACTATACATATATTATTTTTAAAATTTAAAGTAAAAATTAAGCATAATTTATAAAACTTAAATCTAATTATCAATGTTTTTTTTTTCTTTCTACAAACCATGAAAGATATTTTTATGAGTTAGACTATTCTATTCCTTATGCCCTGTATCTTAATAATAATTTGATTATCGAAAAAAAAAAAACAAGGAGAGATTTTCTATACCATGTGCATCAGCTCTATAATAAAAAGTCCCTTTCGCAAAAGCAAATCTCTAAGGAAATCACAAAATCTTCACTGTCCCTTTTTCTTCTTGTTATTTTTTTATTGTTTAGACATGGAGCTGAGATTCTAAAATCCACTTCGAAGTATGATTTCTCCGTATCACAGAAACTCTTTTACTAATTTTTATTATTGTTTCAGAAATGATATATCGCGTGTGATTGACGATATTTTGGTCAATCCTTGGAATGTGTGAAAAGATGACATGTATCACAGTTATTGGTCGGTGTGCTTGACCTAAAGTCAATGCTTTGCTAAACCGCGCCGTCAAATCCCGAACCGGTTCATGCAGCTCCCAAAATTGGAAGCATCATATAGAACCGCTTTTCCGGCGACAGTATTGCTTCTTTGATTTTTCGTTTTTTTTTTTTTTCATGAAGAACGGTTAATGTACTCTCACTTATTTTTTAGTCAGAGTATGTTAGAAACTTACACCAAAATTTTAGGACAAAAAAATCACTCATTTCTTTTAATTTGGTTAATTCGTATAAAAGATATTATAGTAATTTAATTTAATTTTAAATGAAAATAAAATATTTTCTCTCTCTTATTAATTTTATTCTCCAATTCATTTAATTAAAGGATATTATAGAGAATGAAGTTAATAAGAGAGAGAAAATATTTTATTTTCATTTAAAATTAAATTAAATTATTATAATATCCTTTATACAAATTAATCAAATCAAAATAAATTAGTGATTTTTTTGTCTTAAAATTTTAGTGTAAGTTGCTAACATACTCCCACTAAAAAATAGGTGAGAGTACATTAACATTCCCATATATATATATATTACAAATCTATATGATAATTGTGACTCAAAGATTTCACATGTCTCACCAATCATATAAAAAAAATTAATTATTAAAAAAAATAATAAGTTCACATTCGAAAGTACAAACAAACTTTAAAAATAAAGAAGTAAATTTTAAGTCTAAGTCTAAAACATAGTCCTCAAAAAGACAGATAAAACAACTATTATTTAGTCTCAAAGTCACACTAATCAAAGTAAGATTCATAAAAATAAAATCAAAATCTTAAGTTTTATTTTCTTTAGTTTCAACCTCATCTACTTAATCAGATCTTACATAACATTCATTTCAAACAATAAAAATAACAATAAAAATATAAGAGGGGACTATGTCTCACACATGTATAAGCACATATATATGAAGAATAAGGATAGTATCTAAGTACAACACACAACATCATTCATGTCAACTCAAACATTCATAAGTCATTTCCAATATCACATTCAACACATCAAATCCCAAATTAACCACATTCACTTCTCAAGGACTCATGCAACTCATGCTCCTAATTCTATATACATATGGTTTAATTTTCGATATCATCAAAGACGTTCTAAATCACGATAGCCTAAGAGTACATGGATTAGATTATCACTTTTTGGATGACCCACTTAATCTATTCTTAACTAAGAGAAGATTTATTAGGATAATCTAGTCAAAATATCATATTGACACATGATCACCTCCCATACTCATTAGAGGGCCCTCACCAAAACATCTCCAAGACCTAGGTAGAAGACAATAAAGATCATTTTGTATAGATCACTTAATACCACCCCCAAATGAAAGTATGCATGAATCCATGGACTCCAAACAACTTCACCAATCACAAACAATAATAATGCATATGTTCAACACCAACACCATCATGCTGCTAGACCTCTGTTTGGACTTCTCCAAAAGATCAATCCTTTGGATTTGCTCATCTCATCTCCAACATCACCTCAAATATGGCAAATGCCTCAAATGTTGCACATAAGGTTCTCAAACAAATCAACACATACATCTCATGATTTTCTCTCATCACACTTTATCATGTACATTACACATAAGCATTTCATACTGTTGAGATTTCCGTTGAAACTACCTTTGATATCATTGTAAATCATTTTAATTCTATCAACGGACTCAAACACGGCAAGTATACCGGTCGTTCAAGTAGTAAATTATATCGTATCCACAGGGACTAGAAGGTAAAATAAGCATTTATTGACTATTCGTGACTAAAGAATAATTCTATTTTCATAGTTTTTCATGCAAATTTGAATTAAAGGTTATGACTATTGGAATGTTAAACTATAAAAGTATTTGTTTTGTGTGTGGAAAGGGTAGAAATGGTATTATGGTTTTGTAAGATTGTGGGGTCAGATATCACCGAACTACACACTGATGAATCTTTAATCTCTTGTTACATTCATTGATTAGTCAACTCATAAGTTTACTCAACCTAATCCCTTAGAGCAAGAGCCTAGGTGCAAGTAATGAATATCAAATCCTTGAGTATCCAATACCTACACTCGCATTACGGGTTAGGGTTTAAGACTACCAATAGGCCAAGCTCCATTCCTAGATATATTTCCCACTAGGCATTTGTTTCAGAGCTAGTTTTAATGGTTATTTTCCAATACCCAATGGAACCTATATCAAGCAAAGGAGGATCAATCCAAAGCAAGCATTAAGAATAGAAACATACACAATAATGAATGAAACAACACATATATATATCATTAAAAACGTAAAGATTACATAAGAGTTTCGTTGGTTACATCTAACCCCACAAAATAATTGGTAAAATCGCTTAAAACAATGAGGGTGAAACAAAAATAGAGATGGAAGAGAGAATGAAGAACCGAAGGAAAGACCAACACACGAACGGTCCCAAGCACCGGGAATCCCTTCCTTAGCTCCTAGAAGTCGCCCAATGTGTGAATGAGGGAAAAGACCTCGAAGGTTTGCTCAAATACGAGCTTGGAGAGTTAGATTAGGGTTGTCACGCCCGACGCATTAGTCTTTGCGCCCGGCGCAGGACCTTTCAGAGAGTTTGGCTACTCTCTGTCTCAAGACACGCTCGACGCAATTCTCTTTTAAGCCGGGCGCGACGTCTTCCAAAGAGTTTGAGTTGCTCTCTGTCTCGAGCACGCCCGGCGCGTCTTCTTGCGCCCGGCACATTTCTGCATCACAGAGAGAGTGGCTCTCTGTTCTTCTCAAGCCCGACGCGGGTAGTCTTGCACCCAGCGCAGTTACTCTTCTTCTGCTTCTTAGCTCCTTTAATTTCCAATCCAATGGATCTTCAACTTTCAACTCTTCACTCAATACCTGCACAAAAAATGATGTGTATCAAGGTATTGTTAGATGAAATTGGGTTAGCTATATCTGCATAAAAATTGAATCAAAAAGAGAACAATTATCTTGCAAGGATGCATAGGATGAGTGGAATTGTTCAATAAGTCTTATCTAAAAGGAAGTATAATTGAGACTTAACACATACCACACATTATCATCATCTCACATCATTCACTAACGTCTTAAACATTGCACGCAACATTATCAAGTCAAAAATTAACATTTCATATCACATTACGCACAACCATATCATATCATATATAGACTCAGTCTCAAATACAATTAAAGTCTTACAAACATAATTTTACATCTTCATCATAACTCACACATTTGTCATTCACAAATATCCCCTCCCACATTCTATCTTACTTAACTATTGATATTAGCATTTCAAATAATTCTCAAGATTAAACACTTAATGGATACAATAACTCATCATTACAATTCACAAACTTTTTCTTCTTATTTTAAGCTTGTATAACATTTTGTGGTCTAAATGCAATATTTACAGTCATGTTGATCCCAATTTTATTTATAAAAAAAATTATCTAAAACGTTTATATTATCCTCAATAATTTATTTTATCATTTACTATTTTAAGATAAAATAATGGCAGACTTAGGACTTTGAATTATTGGGAGTAATTTAGTTAAAAATAAAATTATTATTATACAAATGAAAAT